ATTTGATTAGCATCTAATTTTCCATGGATCTCGATAAAAATTATTTTTAGTAAAAACTCGTGAGATAATTTAAAAATAGTATTCGATTACATGCAGTACATACATATGTACTTGTCTAAATCAGTGTATCTGAAATATTATTTTACTATTTTTGAACAGTAAAAAAAATATTTATTTATTTAATAAATGACGCATTTTATACGGAAAATCATCAAGAGTTCACCTTAATTTCGGCTATTCATAATAACTCATTATTAAGTACATATTGAAAGTACCACGAAAAAAATTGATTGTCAACAAAAAATAGACGCCACCTCTTATTTTTAATTGCAAGTCCATTTAGCAATGCTGTCTAATACAATTTAACTTATTTACAATAATGTATGAAAAATACAGTAGAGTACAATGTACGATACTTGAATTTTTATCACTTTATAAATGCAGCCAGTCGTCAAGGATTTACAGTAGGAAGAACTTTAAACATTTTTCAAACGACATAACAATTATTTCAAATCACAATACAAATTTGTTTCGAGATGAGTTGAAGAGTGTAAAAAAAATTGTTTATCAATGATGCTCGTAATCTTTAAGTTGCACAACCATCATTTTGATTACGAATTTCATGTCAACTTTTTTTAAAATAAAAATAATTATATACCCTTCAAAATTTTTCACTCGCTGAAATTTTACTTTCGAATTGTTTCATGTTATAATGATTCTGTCGTTCAGGCCCCTTTATTTATTATCTAATAATCAATACATGTTTAAATAATACAGTTCACGTGTTTTCAGTCGTTCAGTCCCAATGTACATATTAAATATATACAGGCAAGCACACGCACACACATTCACGTATACACAAAATATAAATAAGCTGCAGTCTGAAGTAGAAAGAGAAAAGAAAGGCAGTACAAGCTTATTTTCCACTTTTTTACATCATCAAACACCAAAGGAAATGTCATTTTTTCTAGAAACGTTTATATATGTATATTTATATATATGACGATTCAATATAAATCCTGTACAAGTCTATCAGATGTTTACAAAGTAGTAGTTAGTTATTGCCTTAAGATTCGTTTTTTTTTTTTCTCCATTTGAAATTCATCTCTTTGATGATCAAAGATTTTCCATGTTTGATAAATTTTATATAAAATTCATTCTATAAAAAAAATCTCAACATTGGATATACTTGAAATTATTAAGAAATAAAATTGCATATATTCATTTACTTTACCTATACAAAACCCGGAATTGTTTTATGTGTACTACTAAATAATATTACTATTGCTCTTTTGTTAACGTTATTTTACATATAAAACTTCCTGTAGTAGATTCTTCCAACTGAGCTTCATGGAATCGAACGGTAGATAAAGATACAGTAACAACGAGTTACGCGATAGTTACACACACAGGGAAATTTATATTACTCATCGAACGGTAAGTTAATGAAAGTTAGTCTAATGTCAGACCTAGCGGTTGAAACCTTCGTTTTATTTGGGATGCAGCGTCAGGCACAGAAACGGGGATCTATTAAAGTAGGTATTTCGCGGCGTGCCCACGTTTCGAATGTTTTTTTTAAACAGAAACGTCTACTTTTCAGCCGAAAAAGCGTGAACAAGCCAAAAAGAAGCCACTCATGAATAAGTACAAGTAATTAAAGCGTCCTGCAGCCCTAAGGTTGTCGATGGTACTTTCACAATCCAACTAACGAAGGTGTTGGCTAAAAACAATTCCTGGCATGTTTGAAATTCAACGTAACGACACATACGAGGTCGAGATTATTCAAACTGTTGCGGTACAAAGCCAAAATTCCAGAACTCGATGCAATTACAGCAGGCCAAGAAGAAAGAGAAAAAGTTCCGCGAGAGAGAAGAAAATAAGAGAAAACCCGAAAATCAAAGTTAAAAGCGAAAGAAAAAAAATGCACTTGAAGAAGAAATTAATAGTCCACAGTGTGGCCAAAAAGGGGAAGGAAACAACAAGGAAAAAGAGCGAAGGCTACAAGCTCCTGTCGAAGGGGTCCAAGTCGAGAAAAAACGTAAACAAAGGGAATTCAAAAATACGCGAAAGGAAATTTTTCGAACCATCGAAGACACAGACTTGGCGTTTGATCGGCCGTAAGCTACATCGTGCACGCAATCGCACATCGGCTAATTAATGGTGGTAGCGGAGTAGTCCCAACATTTACCGTCGTCACGCAGTTAAGACTTTTACAACAAAGTTGTGCAGTAATTGTGACGAGGAACATGTGGTATCAGATAGATCTCACAGATATTTGACGTTAATATGTACGAAGGAAAAGTGCCAAATAACACGGTATCGAGAGGAAAACGCCACGCAGTAAGTATTCTCTTCAACTCAATGATTTAATCTGGTCTTCGCAATGAATCGTTAATTTTGAATTTGAAAGGAAAGGACAAAACAGCAGCAGGACTTTAGGTAATTAATTGCTTCTTAGACTTTTTTTTTTGAAATCATCAGCCGGATTAAAATTTGTTCTTTTTTTCAGGTCCAAGCCGACAAGGGAGACACGAGCTGACTACTCCACAAAGAAATTTATTTGTCATCTACCAGTGCATCGCGAATACGCATATACCGTCAGTCCCAGCACGGGGGAGCCGCTTATACTTACGAAAGTTACACAAAGCAGACGTGAAATAAGTGAGTGGCAGTGTATAAATTTCGAAAATAATATTGCAAATATACATAAATTATTAATACTTTCATTTATGATAATACATGGTTTAAAACAGCACTNCTTTTTTTTTTTTTTTTTTTTCTTTTATTATTTCTCACTGCCTATTATTATTCTCGCAGATCTCTCGGGTGCCGGAGATACACCCATATCCAGGCGAAAGTCTTTCAAAAAATCACTTAGAGAATCCTTCAGAAGACTGAGAAAGGGAAGATCTCAGCGCAGAGCTTCAACAACGGTTAGCGGCACTACTCCACCGCGACCCGCGACCGGAGACGCAAAAGCCAGAAAGGAGTCGTAAGTTTGACAATAATTGTCGAAATACTATGTACACTAGTTTTACGTTATGTGGGACATGTCGAAATTTTCTGTGACGTTCGATCAGACCAACCGTGGCGTCGAGTCCTAGTGGCGATGCCCTTGTGGACGTCAAACCCGTGGAACGGCAAGTCGAGGCACGGCCTGTCGACGATTCCCTTGGATCTATGGTCAGATGCTTGTACTTTGCTAGAAGTTTCATCATCAGTAGTAAGTACCTTCATTGTGTAGGCCAATCCACGTATCCGAATATCAGAGATATGGTATACGAATCAGAGCGGAAATGTTTGACTTTCAGTGCAAAACACAACACCAACCCTTTGGGCTGGTACAAACAATGGCACGGTGTACGTATTCACGCTGGCCATCCCAGCGGGGGTGCGCCGTGCCGAAGAAGATATAAACTGCACTCTGGGGAAGGAAATTCAGTTAAAGCATCGAGCTCCGGTCATCGCCATTACGATCCTCGACGGCTCGAACGTGCCTCTACCCGAGCCCTACGAGGCAGAACGTGGTGTCTGTCCAGGACCCGACATGAGCGCTGCCCATCGCGTCGTTATCGCCAGCGAGGAACAATTCAAAATCTTCAACCTACCCTCGCTCAAGCCTTTCTGCAAGTATAAACTCACAGCCCACGAGGGCTCGAGGGTCAGAAAAACGGGCTTTGCCAAATTTACGTGTCCAGTCGAGCCTTCGGGTCTGCACGAAGAGGTTTGCCTGCTTTGCCTCACGAACCTTGGCGAATGCCTCGTGCTAGGCATACCCGAGCTACGACGGCAACTCAATGCGGCAACAATCAAGAGGGAAGACATCAAGTATGTATCAGCATGACAATTTTATAGTATTTTATACCTGGTGACTGAATTTAAGTTGTTTTTAACAATTGACCATTCTAGTGGCATATCTTCTTTGACGTTCACAAAGTCTGGTGAAGCATTCTATCTTCATTCGTCGTCCGAACTCCAGCGCATCTCTCTGTCCGCTTCCAAAGTGACTAGAGCTCACTGTGCTCTGAATTTGCCACCCAATGCCAGATCCAGTCCTGAAACCACGCAATCGGAACAAAAGCAGCAAGAAACCGGTTCTGCTGCCGAAGCTGAGAATGAAGCATCCAAGGACACAGCTGATACAGAGAAAGAGGCTAGCCAGGTGCATTCTAAAAGTGTCACTGAAAACGGCATTGCTGGCTCCAGTGAGTAACATCATTGAATACTAACATTTACATTACAATCACTTTCCACTTCATTTGTCACTGGCAATTTGTGTTTGGTGTACGTAAAAAACACTTTGGCTTTTTTGTCACGTTGTCCATCGGTGTAACTTTTTATAACTGTCGATTTTGCATAAAAATTTTTCATGGCATCAAAGTGCAGTCTTATAATTT